AACACGATAACTTTCAAACAAGAAAAGTAATTCAAAATCTGACTTCAAACGATGATTGGGGGTGCCGAGGAATAGAAACCATTAGATTTTGAGCGACTTTGGTTGATAGAGTGAAGTGTCATGTCTGGTGTGATGCCCATGGCCATCCATGGGAAAAATTCAATTTTCCCCCAAAAGTGATATTTAATGTATTCTGTTTAAGAAAAATATGGATTGGGGGTTTTTTGGGTACGAGAAAACTGAATATGACGTTATTTTCGCGATACAAATAATTTTCGTTACAATTTTCATACAAATATTTCAAAAAAAATTGATTTTTGTATGAAATCCATGCCTGTATGATATCGTAATGAGCTGAAACTTTGCACAGGTTATTTTTTTCACACAAAAATAACATTCCAAGAGTGTGAAGACATTTCAATGCATATTAGTGATACTTCCCATACGAAATTTCCGATTTTTTGCTCAAAAACGAAAATTTTGTATGGGAAGTACCCCTAATGTGCATTGACATTTCTTCAAACTTTCAGAATGTTAGCTTTTTGTGAAGAAAATAACATCTGCAAATTTTCACATGATTACGATATCATACAGGCATTGAAAAGTCTATCAAAATTATTTGTATCGCAAAATTTATATCATATTCAGTTTTCTCATGAATTCATATTTACGGTAAAAGATACGTAATAAATGCATGTTGTGGATCACAGTGCGGAAAAGTTCATCTTACGGATGTAAGACATTTTATATGTATTTTTTCTTTTATCTATAAAATTGTATTATACATTATTTACCTTTTAATGCGGCCACTTCATGCGGTGCTGGTCACAAGCCCAGATAAACGCAGGGTGGAAGGTCTTTATTTTTTGTTAACCTGACCGGGCACAAATTCGCCAAAAATCGATTTTCCGAAAAAATGAAAAGAAGATGACAGAAAGTAATATAGCATTAGTTTTTTATTCTTCTAATATTGTAGATGGCGACACTAGCAAGTTTAAATTTCAATTGTAATACCACACTGTGAAACTGAAGGGATATTTAATAAAAAATCCAAAAGGATTAAATTCTAATCCCGAATATATAGAAAAAACGTTATGTTGGAGTCAGTTGCAGTATTATTTGGTGAAAACAACATTTAAAAAATATTTTTCTCTGCATTAATTGCAGAATTCGTCAAAAACGTGTTCAATTTCATTTTATTTGTGAATTATATTTTACTTTACACTTGAACATTAGATTGTTAAAATATGTGAGTAAAACATGGGTCGTACATAAAATTGTGTGATGCCCGTAAGATGTTCTTAAAATGAATATTTTCAAATCTTTCAATCGTTTACAAAGACGGCAAAATCCTCGGGCAATGGTGGTAAATCGGGGAACGCATATAGATAAAAGTGTAAAATTCTCGGCAAATCCAGTTGCCATATAAGGCATTCTAAAATTGAATGTGTCTGTTGTTGTGTTCGTCGATTCTCCGTTGATGTGATCGTTGTATTCATGTTTGTAGTCTCTGTTGCTGATAATGCTTGTGTATTTGATTCAAGGGCACTATTATTTAATTGATATCTTCTATCGGATAGAACAAAGTTTCTAATGAATTGATGATGCTTCATATTCTCAATGATTCGGTTCCGTATGACAATTCGAGCGAGTTGTTTCAATGATAATGGAGTTGTTAGCACTCGCATGAGGTATGTTTCACAGCTTTCTTCTGATGAGTCTTCCATTTCAGCATTGTTTCTGCGTCGTTGGTGTGATGTGTGTAGTTCTGGTGTGTATGAATTTGGATTGCCTACAATATTTATTAGCTCAGACCAAATGAGTTTCAGTCCGGAATTCACTGGAAAAGAAATAGAGACATCTGTAAAAATCAAGTCAAAATGTGTGTACACTCATGCAAAATCTTACCAAAAAGTTTAATCAGATTAATATTATTGCATTCTCGTACAAGTAGCATACAATCTCTGGCTTTAATGAAATTTCCTGCATTTACATTGGCTCCCTCGTGTATTAGGTACTCGGCAATTTTATATTTTTCCATTAACATTGCCAAACACAATGGAGTCTCACCCCATTTATTTAAACTATCAATTTCAACGCCATGTCGTATCAATATTCGGAAAATTTTCCTAAACGAATCTGTCGATTCCGATTGTTGTACAGCCACATGCAATTCCTTGAGAACGTAGGCATTCTCATTGATTCGGGCACCATGTGCAATTAAGTATTCCAATGTTGTAATATCACGTTTATGAATGGCCAATAACAACGGTGTCCATCCGATTTGGTCGCGACCATTCACATTTTCACCGGCCTGTATGAGCAAATGGGTCATCTCTCTCATTTGATTTCTTATTGTAAAACTAAGTAAATGTTGACTTGGAAGTAATCGTGCACCATTTTTCAATAGCATTTTTGCCATTCGATAGTCATTCACAACAATCGCTGTGAATAACGGCGTAACGCCTTCTTCATCTTGAACATTAACATTTGCACCGCATTGAATCAATATCACGGCCGATTCGTATTTTTCGTACACAGTTGCTAGATGAAGTGCCGTTTGTCCTCGTGCTGTCGTTATGTTCACCTGGGCTCTAGATGCTTTCAATAATTGAATCTGTGAATTTCAAAAAAATATCACAAATGTAAGAAAGACTTTCAAAATTAATTCAAGAGTTGTGTTTCTTACCGTTTCCAACGCTTCAAATTTTGTGGCGAGATGTATGGGTGCCATTTGATCGACATATGTTAACTTATTCGGATTGGCATCGTATTGTAATAGTAAGTCAACGATTTGTGGTTGTTCAATGGCTAAATGTAACGGCGTATATCCTGTGCTTGTGGTCACATTAATCGGTGCTTTATGCTTGAGCAACAATTTCACAGAATCATAGCTGCCAACGGATGCGGCACAATGAAGCGGAGACTCTTGATAAGCATCTAAACAATGTGGATCACGCATACTTATTGCATTTGCCAATAAATCCCCAGTCGTTTCAATGATTCGTGCGTAATACCGATATAGAACCGACCATTCATCATCAACCGTATCTACTTTGGCCGTGCCAATCATTGGTTCTTCGATTTCATCTTCCCACTGCAAATCATCCATACCTTCTGGTGTATGTTCACCATCTATATCGTGTCGTTTCCACTTTTTTGCTTCGCTCTCGCCAGTATTATAATCAAAACGCGATGGTTGATAGTTTACACAGGCCTTCAATAGAATATCCAATGCTTCAACATGTTTGTTCAAACATGCGATTCCAATTGCGGTTCGGCCACAAAGTGCTGTTTGTGTGGGATTTGCACCTAAGAAAATGTCATTTTACTCAATAATGTTCAATTTTATCAAATAAAAAATAGAGAAAATAAATAATAACATCAACGTACCTTGATCTAAGAGCTTTTGCACATTTTCGAGGTCATTATATTCCACACATTTACAGAGAATCTCTATATTATTCATAATTTTATTGTTTTTTCACTCAAGAAAACGAAATGATAAACTTTTCTTTACTTTGAATGTAGAATATTTCCCCATCACAAATCCCAATGGCACATCAACTCATTCATGAAAATAATACGCTTCGAATCTTTTATGGAATCGGATGATAAAATTTATGGAAAAAATATATAATTTCTCTTCTATGTTTATATTGTGTGATACAAAAAAGAACTATTTTCGCTTTATTTATTTACAAGTGGATTTTACGTAAATTATCAAATGTCAAAACATTCATGAATTTCAACGTAACAGTTTCGTAATCTATTACTTCATTCTGAAAAATCGTATGCGTTGTGTTTGAATTGTCATACGTTCGTTGATTTGTATGAGAGGGAAAGAAAGGATTTTGAATTCCACATTTGAGGCGAAGTTGAACTCATCTATTTTGCTCATACTATAATATTCTATCTCGATCCATTTGAACGACACCTGGCTTTAACACGAATTTTATTATTTACAACTAAAATTACATTGAATTACACGAATAAAAATCACCAAAATGTAAAAAAAAAAAAACAAGTTTTTCTTATGATTTATTTTTTTCTGGTTCAAAAATTAAATATTAGCTCAATAAATAGCAATCTTAAATTCAATGGCAATGATTTAAAAGAGCCAATTATTTTCACGCACATAATGTTTGAAATACTGTGTCAACCGTGTCTGTGTACAACGAAGGTATGGATTTCAGCACAGACACGTAAAATAGAAATCCAACGCCATATAGAATATGACAAAATCATAAGAAATGTAGGATACAATCGGCTGATCACCGATTTATCTGAATTAATTGATCAACAGAAACCAGAAAGATAAAGAATTCTTATCTCAAGGCCCTATGCTCCACTGGGAGTTAAAGGAAATAAAAAAAAATGTTTGAAGAAAAGTATTAGTTCATCTTGAAAAATTGTTAGATTTTTACATTCTGACCGAATTTTTCATGAGTGCAATGGTGTGTAAATGAGATCCCATAAAAGCGTCCTCGAAAGACTCACTTTTTGTTACAGTAACTCCAGCACATTTCATTTATCTGTCGGAAGCGTTAATAATTTTCATTTGTAGCATCTCTTCCGCAACATAACACAGTTCGTCCACTTCCTTTTTTTCTTATTCTGCAGTTTTGATCAATTCTTGATATATTTTTTGACGTAAAAAAAGTTTCTCAGGGAAATTCTTAATTCTGAAATATTCGAAATAAAAAACACTTTACATTTTTCAGACTTTATATATTTTTTAATTGATTCATTTGACTTTTTATTTGAAAAAAGAAAAAAAAACTTAAAAGTTCAACCGTTTGAATTTATTTTTAATTCAAACCATACGAGAATCTACTAGGAATCTATTTGAGAAAATTTCAATTAGAAAAACATCGTTTGATTAGCATAATGTTTTTTGTTTTATTTATTTCTTATGACCAAAAAAATCCGTAACTATATGTTTTTTTTTGTTTTAAATTACTCATTTCAAGATTTCTTTACAACAAATGGGTTTTCCATTATTTTACGCTTATTACAAACCGGTTAATCGGAATTACAATAATAATATAATTTCACTCTGAGAAAACTCAGATGTTAAAATTCAAAGTAATAAGAGAAAAAT